AGTGGTTTTATTCATGGTGACTAGAAACAGGTGGCTGCAGTGGCTCACGCTTATAATCTCAGCACTTTGGGAGGCCAACCTGGACAAATCACTTGAGCACAGGAGTTCAAGACCAGCCTGGGCAACATGACAAAATCTGTCTCTACAAAAAAAAATAAGAAAAGTTTTAAAACCTGCTAGTCGTGGTGGCATGTGCATGTAGTCCTAGCTACTCAGGAGGCTGAGAAAAAGATCACTTGAGTTTGAGGCTGAAGTGAGCTATGATTTCACCACTGCACTCCAGGCTAGATGACAGAGTGAGACCCTATTTCCAAAAAATAAAGGTAGAGAGAGGCTGGGTGCGGTGGTGGCTCATGCCTGTAATCCCAGCACTTTGGGAGGCCGAGGTGGGTGGATCACCTGAGGTCGGGAGTTCGAGACCAGCCTGACCAACATGGAGAAAGCTGTCTCTATTAAAAATACAAAATTAGCAGGGCACGGTGGCGCATTCCTGTAATCCCAGCTACTCAGGAGGCTGAGGCAGGAGACTCACTTGAACCAGGAGGCATAGGTTGTGGTGAGCTGAGATCTTGGGATTGCACTCCAGCCTGGGCAACAGAGTGAAACTTTGTCTCAAAAAAAAAAAAAAAAAAAGGCCAGGCTCAGTGACTCATGCCTGTAATCCCAGCACTTTGGGAGGCCAAGGTGGCAGATCACCTGAAGTGAGGAGTTCGAAACCAGACTGACCAACATGGGAAAACCCTATCTCTACTAAAAAATACAAAATTAGCCAGGCAAGGTGGCACATGCCTGAAATCCCAGCTACTCAGGAGACTGAGGCAGGAGAATCGCTTGAACATGAGAAGCAGAGGTTGTAGTGAGCCGAGATTGTACCATGGAACTCCAGCCTGGGGAACAAGAGCGAAACTGTCTCAAAAAAAAAAAAAGAGCAAGAGAGAAAGAGAAATGTTAACGTAGATTTGGACATACCCAGAACTATAGAATCAGGTGCTGTGGGGGTGAGGTCCAGAAATCTGTGTCTATTTATTTATTTATTTATTTACTGAGACAGAGGTTTGCTCTTGTCATCCAGGCTGGAGTGCAGTGTTGCAGTCTCAGCTCACTGTAACCTCCACCTCCCGGGTTCAAGCAATTCTCTTGCCTCAGCCTCCCAAGTAGCTGGGATTACAGACGCCCACCACCATGCCTGGCTAATTATTTTTTTGGATTTATAGTGGAGATGGGTTTTCGTCATGTTGTCCAGGCTGGTCTCAAACTCCTGACCGCAGGTGATCTGCCCGCCTCAGGCTCCCAAAGTGCTGGGATTACAGGCATGAACCACTGCGCCTGGCCAGAAATCTGTATTTTAATAAGCTTTCCAAGTTTAAAAAGCTTTCCTCATAAATGGCCGGGCGCGGTGGCTCAAGCCTGTAATCCCAGCACTTTGGAGGCCGAGGCGGGTGGATCACGAGGTCAAGAGATCGAGACCATCCTGGTCAACAAGGTGAAACCCCGTCTCTACTAAAAATACAAAAAATTAGCTGGGCATGGTGGCACATGCCTGTAATCCAAGCTACTCAGGAGGCTGAGGCAGGAGAATTGCCTGAACCCAGGAGGCGGAGGTTGCGGTAAGCCGAGATCGCGCCATTGCACTCCAGCCTGGGTAACAAGAGCGAAACTCCGTCTCAAAAAAAAAAAAAAAAAAAAAAAAAAAAAGCTTTCCCTATGATTCTGATGCACACTGATATTTAAGAATCAATGGTGTTGGAGAAAGCTCACAGGTGCTTGTGTCCTTATTCTGGTTCAGTCTAGCAGCTATATGACTAACCATGGCTGAATCCTTAAATGTCTGAAAACTCAGTTGTATAGGGTATAGATAACAAGGAGTTTAGAATGATGCCTGCGGGCCCTTCTGCTCTAAAATTATGTGAAAGAAAGTAAATAAATGTTGCAATTACTCAATTCATTCAGTCAACAAACACTTAGGTACCAGGCAGTGTGTTCTGTTCATGGAATCAATGTATGACACAAAATTGCAACTGAAATACTATAACTTTATCCTTTATAATTAAATGACTTGCAAATTTTCAGACCACAAACTTTCACCTGTCCTCAATTTACAAGATTTTCATACTGCATCTGTTGTGTAATGTGAACTAGAAAACTAAGAAAATGGCCGGGCGCGGTGGCTCAAGCCTGTAATCCCAGCACTTTGGGAGGCCGAGGCGGGTGGATCACAAGGTCAAGAGATCGAGACCATCCTGGTCAACATGGTGAAACCCCGTCTCTACTAAAAATACAAAAAATTAGCTGGGCATGGCGGCGCGTGCCTGTAATCCCAGCTACTCAGGAGGCTGAGGCAGGAGAATTGCCTGAACCCAGGAGGCGGAGGTTGCGGTGAGCTGAGATCGCGCCATTGCACTCCAGCCTGTGTGACAAGAGCGAAACTCCGTCTCAAAAAAAAGAAAAGAAAAAAAAAAAGAAAAGAAAATGATCCAAAGGGATCCATGTTTCCAAAATTACTTTTTTTTTTTTTTTTTGCCAGAGTCTCAGCTTACTGCAACCTCCCCTTCCTGAGTTCAACTAATTCTCCTGCCTCAGCCTCCTGGGTAGCTGGGATTACAGGCACGCGCCATCACGCCTGGCTAATTTTTGGTATTTTTAGTAGCCATGGGGTTTCGGTATGTTGGCGAGGTTGGTCTGGAACTCCTGGCCTCAAGTGACCCACCTGCCTTGGGCTCCCAAAGTGCCTGACCTCAGTCAAGTTTCAGTACATCTGCAAGTACAGGAGATGGCGCCAGAAGGCAGCGGGCTGCTCAGTTTGGGTTTAAGGGTTTTAGCCAATGCGAGAGAGGAAAGAGCTTGGGCAGAGAGGTCAGAACTAAATCAAAGGTGCCAGAGTTGAGTGGAAACCAAGACCGAGTGGGGAGAGGGAGCGGCGTCACTTTAAAACAAGCAAAAAAACAAAACTTACAATGAGGGTCCTCTTGACACCTGCTCCAAATCAGGACAGCTAGAAAGCAACGACAGAAATATCCACAGTAAAGCCGAAGCTCAAGATACAGTCAAGCGCGTGGAGGATGGCGCTGGCCTCCTGGCTCCCTGGCTCCTAGAGAGGAGGACCTTTGTCATCTGGGACGCACAAGCACCTGGACGCGCTGCTCACCCAAGATCAGGGAAGTGTTGACTCCGGGCTAAGATATCTCTGTGACACAACGTGAAGTTGTAGTTGTATAGGCAAAATCCCAAAGCTCGCCAGCAGTGAAATACTTCCCAGAAGGAATCACACGCAAAACATTTTAAATTAATATTTAAAAAGTCATAGACGAGCCAGGAGGTGGCGCCTGGCAAGACGCGCTGCCTGCCTGGGGAATCGGAAATCTCAGCTCAGCACTGCACGGGAACTCTGTCCCAGCGGGGTCATTCTTTCCCACTAAATCTCTTCTTTCATACCTACGTGTCTCTGCTTCCCTTTTTTTGTTTCTTTGTGCTAAATACCCTGATTCCCGGGAAGTCTGATTTATACTTCACGCCTTTTCCTCTTCTTAGATGGGATGGATGGGGCTTTGGGGAACCTCAAAACAGAAAACTTTCCTGAAGGGGACAAATACTTCGGAGGGTGATAGGAGAAGAAAAAGGGAAATGACATCAGCAGAATGGCTTGGCTTTGCAGATCAATCGCGGGGGACAGAAAGGCACAGTGAGCTCCTGTCTCTGCAGGAGCTGATGATCCAGCACATGCATTATTCTGTTCATTTGGCTTTTCTCCTGCTCCCTTATTTAGCTTCTGCTGCCTTTGTTTGGCTATTTATTGCTACTCGGCAGGAGCAAGGAGGGCAGAGGGAGCTCAAATGGGTGCATCCTTCAGGCTGGTGCCTCTGGCAAAGGGCACGGAGGATAAGGAGGTTTCAATGTCTGGCTTGAAAGTATCTGTGGGTTTCACATTCTCTAACAAGGGATTTAGGATGTACATTCCGATCGGGATTTCCAGTCCCGTGGGGAGCAAATATCAGCTCACATTCCTGAGACGCGCAGCCTCCATGCTCCAAGGCACAGCTCCTTGGTGGCAGGTTTCACTCAGTGCCACATGTTGTGCCTCAGCCCTTGGGCTGGAGGGAAGACCCTGGGCCCCTCTTCCATCTGGATCACATGGTCTCTCTGGTCCCTCCCCTCTCTTTCTCTGGAAACCGCCTTTTTCTGGTGGTGGTAGTGATTGTTCCTACAGTCTCTCCTTCTTTCCTCCTGCCCTGGCCTCTCTGCCAGAGGTCAGTGTCCTCTTCAGTGACAAAAGCCGCCCTAGATCTGGGCTCCCTGGAGAGGGAGGTGGCTGGGTCTGGCAGTTACAGCCGCTGTCTCTCCATGGTGCTGCTACACCCCTCCCCCGCTGGGCACACAAATGGGCTTTATCCAGCAAACAACACCCCCCCCCACCCCGGGCCACACAGGCACGTGGACCCAGGCCTCACCGTGGGAAGGGGGTGGTGACAGGCACAGAAGAGATTGCTCCAGATGAGTTCTCCTGGCCTCACTTCTCTTCCTTAGAACTCAGGACACAACTCTGGTTTTAGTTCTTGACTTCCTCCACCCCTCACCTGCACCCTGAATCCCCAATTCCTTCTTGTTACATTATCTTCTAATTCTGTACTCTTCCCATTCCACAGCAGCTCAGATTCTGCAGGGAATTGGGAACAGGTACCCCCGCCATCTGCTCCATGCCACCCAGGGAGCTGCTCTGCAGAGGAGAAGCCAGGTGGGGGGATGAAAACACAGTGCCCTCTTGAGGGGGCTGAGTTGAACCCCAAAGCCCCTTCCTTGCCCCCGCCGGCTTCCAGGAAACACCCATGTAAGCAGCATCTGTGTGACTAGCAGAGGAAGGAATAGCTCACCCCAGCTGGACTCCTGAGCCAGGGCCAGCGCTCCGGTGAAACTTGCCACGATGCAGCTCCGAGTGGGGCCAACCTGCATGCCTAATTGGCTATTTAAGGAGCTACTCGCCTGCAGCCCAGGCAGCCCCCCCTCCCCACATACACCCGTCCAGAGCCACCTTAAAAGCAGGAGTCAGTTGTAAAGTCGCCGGCCAGCTAGTGGAGTGGAGACTGCAGAGGGAGATACAGAGAGAGGGCAGAGAAAGAGGCAGCAAGAGATTTGTCCTGGGGACCCGGAAACCCATGGTACCCTACTGAACCCCAAATTCCCTGGAAGCCCACAGAGACACAGAAACAGCAAGACAAGCAGCGATACACTCCACGCCAGGAATCCTCCTCTCTCTCTCTCTCTCTCTCTCTCTCTCTCTCTCTCTCTCTCCCTCTCTCTCCACCCCCCATCCCAGCCTGTCCTCGTCCTCTAGTCTTCAAATTCCCAGTCCCCTGCACCCCTTCCTGGGACACTATGTTGTTCTCCGCCCTCCTGCTAGAGGTGATTTGGATCCTGGCTGCAGACGGGGGTAGGTACAACTAAATGTTTGTGTGTTGATTTGTGCTGATGTTCACACGTCGCCAGGTGTGTAAACGGCGGGGGAGGAGAGGTGTGAAAGGAAGCCTAGAGGCTGGAATCATAGGCTCGGAGAGGAGGGGAAAAGCGAGCGGAGCGTAGAGGAGACCACTTCTCTTCTTTATCTTTTGCCTTTCCAGCCTTGCTGTTATGGGAGGTGGGGGAGAACGAGCGGGGGGCTGGGTGTGTACACAGGCAAGTGCTGGAATCTCTTTGCAGGCTACAGAGTTTCTCCAGAGCTCTTTCTCCCACTGACCTGGTCCCAGTCGGCACTCCTGGACTTTTTTATTTACAAACTCCTCCGATTAGGGAGTCAAAGAGGCCTGGCATGAAAAGATAGATAGCTGGGGGTAGGGGGAAGAATACTTCCTGCCCAACTCAGACCCTGATCTCCAATGCATCACCTTTTGGTCAAGTTTCCTTCTTCATTCTGTGGAGCGACTGAACTCCCTAGTTATCCCCCGAAAGCAGCAGGATAAGAGTGAACATTTGTTTGACGCTTTACCGTTTACCAAGGACTTTCAGGAGGTCCCAGGAGATGGGGAACGATTTTTGGGAGAACAGGCTGAAGCGCTCAGGAGTGTCCCCTGGAACCACAGACCTCACTTCTGTGTTTCCCATGCCTAGCACAGTATCAGGCACATAGTAGATGCCTGACTGAGGTCTGCGGAAAGAGCAGGGTTGGGGGTGGGGGTGTCCAGAGAGTAGACGGTAAATGCAGAGATGACAGGGGCAGGCGGGCAGCCAAATGGAGAGTCACAAATCTCATCTGAGGAGAAAGAAAAACACAGGGAAAGGGGAGGAAGAGACAGAGTAAGTGTGCTGAGGCTCTGACCAGAAGAGACGGGCACCTTCACACACCAGGGAGTTCGAGGTGTTGGGGGTGGGGGGTCCCACAGAGATGGTAACTGAGAGGTAACTGAGAGGCTGCCTCCAGCTCTCCTTTGGGCCAGCAGAATAGGTCAAGGGTAAGAGCAGGGCATCTCACAAGTTTGAGGAAGTAAAGGGATTAAGAGAGAGAGAGACGGGAAGGAATTCAGGATTTTTCTCCAGCGTTTCTGGGAGTATGGCTATTGCAGCATAAACCTGCAGGAAGACCTTCCTTTTCTTCTTGAGGCAGTTTGGTCCTGGGGAGCCGCTGGACCTGCAGACCCCCCGGGCCTGAGTCAGACAGGACTGCACGAGAGCCTGGCATGTGACCCAGCTGGCAGCTCTCTTCTCTACACACAATGCTTCACTTTCATCCTGTCCCTGCCAGCCTGGCTGCCTGTGTCCACCCACTACCCTCAATCTAGAGTAGACCCTGCCCTGACTCCCACCCTCTCCTAAGCATCTCGGAACGTAGGGAGCAGAGCCTCCTGGTGATGAGGAGCTACTGGGACCCGAAAGGAAGGATTTACTTATGACTGTACAGCTCAGGGCCTTTATTCATGCAATTTTTCAAAGCAAAGGAATAATCCCCCCTTCCCCCCCATAGCACCCCCCCCGACACACACACACACACACACACACACACACACACACACTCTGAACTCCTTTCTCCTTCCCTCTTTCTAGTCTCTATCCTTCAAACCCTCTGCCCACACCCTCACCCCGCCCACCCCAATCTTCTAAGTGTTGGATTGACTTGGCACAGGTTAGAGAAAAGTAAGGGGTTGGGCCAATCGCACATTTGGATCCAGGTTAATTTTAGTCCCTGGGCTTTACCTCTTTTCATTCCTCCTCCCCCTTTACTCAGCAGGCACCAGCAGAGCCTGGGCTGGTGAATTTAAATAGACCCCCACCCCCCTGCCCTCCCCCCCACCCACCCCCGCCAACCTTTCCACAGAGGTGTCCAGTTTCAGGGCTTCCTTTGGAAAGTGCTGGAGCAGAAGGAGGAGGGGCAGCAGAGAGGGAGGTGGAGCAGTACAGAATGCTAGAGGGAGGGGTGTGGAGGCCAGGGCTCTGCCCCAGGCTGTGCTGGCTGTAACCCAAATCCTTCTGCCTTGCAGGTCAACACTGGACATATGAGGGTGAGAGCAGATCTCGAGGCCTCCCGCCACTTCTTTCACACTGGAGCCTCCTCACCTGGCAGGAAGACAGGCTGTGCGGGTGGGGAGGGGTCTCCCTGTAGCTTCTCATCCTGGCTCCTCCCTTCTGGATCTCCCACTGCGTTGAGTTGCACGTATTTGGCTCCCAGATCCTGCTCTAATCATCAAATCCTACACCTCCTGATTTGGCAGAAAAGCTAGTTAAGTCCTCAGTAAATCGTGTAGGAGTGAGGGAGCTGGGTGGGCGGGGGGGGAGGGGGAAGCTTAGCTGCCAGGTCTCCTTCTGGCTCTCTCTATCCTAATCCATCATACCCCTAACCTGCATCTGAAGTTGGGACAGAGCCGGAGGTCAGGGGTGACCAAGAGGATGGTGGGACAGTTTGTGACACTGGGGGGGTGGAGTTCCATTCCTATGAACTACTGATTAATGACATAACTGAACTCCAGAGTCCATGACAGAAGGTCAGTGTGACAGCCAGCAGTGAATGATGAAAAGTCAGGATATCTGAATCCCAAGGCCACATGATAGGAAGTCTCCAGCAGGATTTTTTTTTTTTTTTTCTGAGACGGTCTCATGCCGTCACCCAGGCTGGAGTGCAGTGGTGTGATCTCGGCTCATTGCAAACTCCATCTCCCAGGCTTAAGTGATTCTCCTGCCTCAGCCTCTCGAGTAGCTGGGATTACAGATGCGCACACCACATCTGGCGAATTTTTGTATTCTTAGTAGAGACGGGGTTTGACCATGTTGGCCAGGCTGGTCTCGAACGCCTGACCTCAAGAGATCCACCTGCTTCAGCCTTCCCAAGTGCTGCTATTACAGGTGTGCGCCACTGTGCCTGGCCTCTCTAGGATCATTTTATTTCTCCCATTTTTCTACTCCTACTCTCTAATCCCATCTCTTAGGGTATTCAGGTTTTCTATGCATCTCCTCTCTCCTCGTTCAGCTCTCTTGTCCTCTAAATATAGGTAAGTAAAAGAGCTACCATTCCCCATTCATCAGGATAATTGGAGAATCATCACTGTCTCTGGGTAGAGAAGGGGAACTGGAGTTGGATACTCGATAGGATTCCTACCTCACCCATCCCAGTACAACTGGGGTCTTAACCTGGGTGGAGGGAAGTCCATTTCTACCTCCACCCAGATGTATGGCTTGGTTAGGGGACAGGGTCAAAGGGATGGGGGCGGTGTTGAAGGGTGCCTAGAGCTGGAGGACAGGACCAATGTCTTTGGTAACCCCCCAGGCCCACATGGTCAGGACCATTGGCCAGCCTCTTACCCTGAGTGTGGAAACAATGCCCAGTCACCCATCGATATCCAGACCGACAGGGTGACATTCGACCCTGAGTTGCCTGCCCTGCAGCCCCACGGATATGACCAGCCTGGCACCGAGCCTTTGGACCTGCACAACAATGGCCACACAGGTAAAAGCACGGGCTCCAAGAGGTTGTAGGCTCCAGCTCAGCTCTTAGGAGTCAGATCCTTTTGTAGTGCATGAGTGTGACGATGGGGTGTTCATGAGCATGCGTAAAATGCGCCACCCTCCATCCTTGTTACGATGTCAGCACATTACCCATCTGCTACGAATAAATAACCTCAGGAGTCAGGGGAAAGCAGCATTCTCCTAACCTGCAAATTCTCAAAAAGCTTGGAAATAGGAGAATGGGGATCGGGCTCCTGTCGCCGAGGCAGAAATCAAAATGTTTCTAGTCAAGCTCGATAGGTAGGTTAGTCTCATTGCGCTGATTTGATCTTCACTGAGAAAAAGGAAGATATGCTAGAAGGGCTCTGGCCCATGGGAGGAACCGGGTGCTGCTTGAGGAGGAAACTGGAAGAGAGCCAAGTCTCAAGAGGTGGTGGCAACCCAGGAGTGGGAACGTATCTGCCTTCCTCCGCCGATCCTAGCTTGCTCTTTTCTTCACAGTGCAACTCTCCCTGCCTTCTACCCTGTATCTGGGTGGACTTCCTCGAAAATATGTAGCTGCCCAACTCCACCTGCACTGGGGTCAGAAAGGATCCCCGGGGGGGTCAGAACACCAGATCAATGGTGAAGCCACAGTTGCGGAGGTACCAGGGAACGAAGGGCTGGGGATTTGGGCAAAGTAACAGGGATGGTTGGTCCTGAGAAAAGGGTCTGGGCCTTGGGAAAAGTCCTGCTGGAGGGATGAGGCCAACCTTTGTGAGACAGACTTAGTGCCTGCCGGGGACAGCAGGGGGATGCTGGTGGCTAGGATCAAGGCCTTGAAGTGGGTGGGGACATTCCGTAACTCAATTCCCTCTTCCTTCCTTCAGCTCCACATTGTACATTATGACTCTGATTCCTATGATAGCTTGAGCGAGGCTGCTCAGAGGCCTCAGGGCCTGGCTGTCTTGGGCATCCTGATCGAGGTCAGTAGCTCCCAGTCCCTTCCAGGTTTCTCTCCACCTCCTCTGCAACTGTCACACCGATTTGTTTCCCTCCTGTGGCAGGCAGCGGCTCATCCTGACCATTTATTCTGTACATACGTTTCTTATTCCAAACATGGACCCCTTCCCCATTCTCTCTCTTGCCTCCCCTTCCAGGTGGGTGAGACTAAGAATATAGCTTATGAACACATTCTGAGTCACTTGCATGAAATCAGGCATAAAGGTGAGCCTTAAAAATCTATAGCAGGAAGTGAGATTGCTTTCAACAAACTTTCAAAAACTATTAGTCTTGGGATGAGGCGATTACTTAGAGCCAAGGAATTCTGCTTCTGGGAGCCCTATCTAGGTAAGCTAGGGCACACTGAAAGGAAGACGAGTCCCAGTCTGTTCTCTCCAGATCAGAAGACCTCAGTGCCTCCCTTCAACCTGAGAGAGCTGCTCCCCCCCCAGCTGGGGCAGTATTTCCGCTACAATGGCTCGCTCACAACTCCCCCTTGCTACCAGAGTGTGCTCTGGACAGTCTTCTTTAGAAGGTCCCAGATTTCAACGGAACAGGTAAGCGGTGGAGAAATGAGGTGAGGGGAGAGAGACACGACTGTATCTTCAGACCCCTTCCCACTCCCCAGTGACACCTCTCCCGCGCCTCTGCTCCTCAGCTGGAAAAGCTTCAGGGGACATTGTTCTCCACAGAAGAGGAGCCCTCTGAGCTTCTGGTACAGAACTACCGAGCCCCTCAGCCTCTCAATCAGCGAATGGTCTTCGCTTCTTTTATCCAAGGTGATTCTGCATAACTCCGAAGAGGTGGAAAACTGAGGGACTGAATGGCAGGAACCAGGGAGCCTATGGGAAGAAAGGGCTAAAAGGGGAAAGGGTTTCCAGGGACTGGGAACCAACCCCCACCCCAGGGGGCCCGGGTCATTCTCCCAGGCATAGAAGCAGAGCGCTGCCCCCAGCTGGGATGGGGATCTCAAGTCCCACTGACCCCTTTTCTTCTCTTACAGAGGGACCCTTGTATACCACAGGTAAGACAGCCTTATAAGGTATTGGGGGGAGGGGAGGCATCCTCAGCAAGTAGGGGAAAGGCTGAGAATCTGTTAGTCCTAGGCTGACACCTTGTACCTTTATCTCCCCCAGGTGAAATGCTGAGTCTAGGTGTAGGAATCTTGGTTGGCTGTCTCTGCCTTCTGCTGGCTGCCTATTTCATTGCTAGAAAGATTCGGTGAGGTCCTATTTTCCATTCTTCCAGTCCTTTCTTTTTTTTTTTTTTTTTTTTTTTTTTTCTTTTTGAGACGGAGTTTCGCTCTTGTTACCCAGGCTGGAGTGCAATGGCGCGATCTCGGCTCACCGCAACCTCCGCCTCCTGGGTTCAGGCAATTCTCCTGCCTCAGCCTCCTGAGTAGCTGGGATTACAGGCACGCGCCACCATGCCCAGCTAATGTTTTGTATTTTTAGTAGAGACGGGGTTTCACCATGTTGACCAGGATGGTCTCGATCTCTCGACCTCGTGATCCACCCACCTCCGCCTCCCAAAGTGCTGGGATTACAGTGGCTTGAGCCACCGCGCCCGGCCCTTTTTTTTTTTTTTGAGAGGGAGTCTTGCTCTGTTACCCAGTCTGGAATGCAGTGGTGTGCAATCTCAGCTCACTACAACCTCCACCTCCGGGTTCAAGTGATTCTCCTGCCTCAGCCTCCCAAGTAGCTGGGACTACAGGCACACACCACCACACCCAGCTAATTTTTGTATGTTTAGTAGAGACAAAGTTTCACCATATTGGCCAGGGGTCTCAAACTCCTGACCTCAGGTGATCCACCTGCCTCAGCCTCCCAAAGTACTGGGATTACAGGTGTGAGCCACCACACCTGGCCTTTTTTTTTTTTTTTTTAGGAGACAGGTTCTCACTGTTGTCCAAGCTGGGGTACAGTGGCTTTATCACAGCTCACTGCAACCCCCACCTCCCGGGCTCAAGTGGTCCTCCTCCCTCAGCCTCCTGAATAGCTGGGACTACAGGCGTGTGCCACCGTGCATGGCTACTTTTTATATTTTTAGTAGAGATGGGTTTTCACTATGTTGCCCAGGCTGGTCTCCAACTCCTGACCTCATGTGATCCACCTGCCTCAGCCTCCCAAAGTGCTGGGACTACAGGCGAGAACCCCACCTTGCCCAGCCTTTTCTTTTCTATGAAAAAGCATTCTCCGATTCCACCTCTCATCTGCTTCACTTAGATAGTAGTCATTCTCATGAGCCACTCCCCTTTCCAGGAAGAAGAGGCTGGAAAATCGAAAGAGTGTGGTCTTCACCTCAGCGCGAGCCACCTCTGAGGCATAAATTCCTTCTCAGATACCGTGGATGTGGATGACTTCCCCTCGTGACTGTCGGGAAGCCTCTAAAATGGGGTCTAGGGTCTGCACAGAAATCCTGTAGGAGTAGCAGGCAGACGTCCTCCTTCCCCTGGACATCCCCTACAGAGAGGAATGGACAAATGAGGAGATCTGTGCTGTTCATGCAGAGGACAAACTCTGTTCAGTTGCAGGGGAAGTTTGGGATGTACCCCAAAGTCTTCTCCCCCCTCACCTTTATGGCCCTTTCCCTAGATACACCGCAGAATCTCTCCTTAGGATAAAAAGTTGCTGTTGAAGTTGTATATTTTTGATCCATGTATTTGGAAATTAAAGTTTCTGACTTTCATTCTGGTCTGTTCTTTGAGGCTCTTGAGGGTGCACAAATTCCTCAGTTCCTCAGGTGGTAAAGACAGGCAGAGGGGCCGGGCGCGGTGGCTCAAGCCTGTCATCCCAGCACTTTGGGAGGCCGAGGTGGGTGGATCACGAGGTCGAGAGATCGAGACCATCCTGGTCAACATGGTGAAACCCCGTCTCTACTAAAAATACAAAAAAAAAAAAAATAGCTGGGCATGGTGGTGCATGCCTGTAATTCCAGCTACTCAGGAGGCTGAGGCAGGAGAATTGCCTGAGCCCAGGAGGTGGAGGTTGCGGTGAGCCGAGATCGCGCCATTGCACTCCAGCCTGGGTAACAAGAGCGAAACTCCATCTCAAAAAAAAAAAAAAAAAAAAAAAAAAAAAAAAAGATAGGCAAAGGATGGGGAAAAGCAGCATGGCTGATTAACTCATTTTATGCCACCCCTAGAAAGAAAGATTCGCTTCCGGGAAAACACTTAACCCGAAGTTTCAGACATGTTAAACCTCTAGCCCAGATTTCTGCCCTTGCACCAAGGCTACGCTTGGAGATCAGTGGTTGCCAGTTTAGGAAAAGTGGCTGGACAAGAGACACGAGAGGGCAGAAGTCTCAAGTAACAAGCTGTCCCCGTCCCTTAAAAGCCAAGTTCCCCCACAATTACAAAGTCTTTTTTTATTAGTCAAAATCACAATCACCTTGATTAAAAGGATGGGACACCCCACCCTCAGCAGAAAATGATACAGTTTATAGAAAACCTCCCCGCCCCTCCCACACCCCAGTTAAAAACTACAAAAAAATCTGCCCTCCTTCCCTACGATGTCACGGTAGTCTGACTCCTCCGGCGGCACTGCAGCTCTGGAGGGCCGGCTCACCCCAGCACCCTCCACTTCACCTTGGGGAGAGGAGGGATGCTGGTGTTTAAGGGTTAAAACCGTTAGTTCCAGTATTGCCAGTTCCCAAACATGCACTTCTTTCCTTTCCCCCAAGGTCTGGGACCAGGGAGAAAGGGACAGAAATGAGCCCAGCTGTGAGGCGCAATTCCAGAGAAAATACAGCCCAAGGAGGTTAGAAGAGTTCCAACCTCCCTCCTCCCTCCCCCCACCTCAAAAAAGCAAAAAAAGGCAGATCAGGGTCTTTATCACACCAAAAATCGTGCCCCTCAGGCCTGAGAAAAAGATGTCCAGTCTGGGGAGAGGGTACTGAGAAACTCAGAGCTCGTCTACCCTCGAGCCTCCGTTAATTTCATCTCCAGGGCAATGGCTAACCTAGATCCCTTTTCTCGGCAACCTGCACTGTCCAGAACTGGAGATGGAGAAATACAGGGCGAGGACATCAGGAGGGCACCCCAGGCCCAGGGGGTCCCCCCTACGTTCCCTCAGTCCTCGGGTGGGATGCGCAGGGCAGAATACACCATCACCCGACTGTCCTCCTGCCGTCGGCCTGCAGAGGGGAAGGGAGGTGAGTCTTGGGCAGGGTGAGAGCAGAGCACTGACACAGGGGGAGTCCTGGACAACAAGGGGGTCCCCAGATGGTGGGGATTAGTGCAGATTCAAACCCACCAGTCACTGACTGGCCGAACCCAGGCTGCTCCTGGTAAAGCCTAGAGACTAACGGTCACAAAAGGACAAAGCAAAACCCCGGAGGTGGTGGGGTGGACCGACGACAAGGACACGGAGATGTGGGCAATGGACCCGGGCTGGGGCTGGGCTCGGTCATGGGCAGTGGACAGGCAGGTGGGATCTGTCAGGCGATCAGTCCAGGTAGTCAGTCCTTACACAAGAGGCTGCGCTGAATACTTCGGAGGGACCCGCCAGCTGTGATGAAGGCCCAGAGCCCCATGGAAACAGTGACTGCATAGATGGGCAGCAGGCTGGCCTCATACCATGGGTTCAGGAATGTCTAGGAAAGAGGGTAAGAGTAGAAAACAGATTAGATTCTCCCCCAGCCCGATCCCCACATTCTTTCTGCACCTTTGACTCCCAGCTCTCTCTCTCTCTCTCAAATTCCCGTCTTTCCCTTCAGAGCACCAACATCTTGCGGTTAAGGGGACTTTGAATTTTTCAGCTCCTTCAAAGGTTTCTGCCACTCCCGCTCACCTCAGGCCCTCGGCATGACAGTCTGAGTAATCCATTCAAGCTCCTCCCCAGAGCAGGTGATAGAACTGATGCTGAGGGGAGAGACCTCGAAACTCACCTTTTTCCGCCTCCTCCCAAGGTAAGTTCAAAATGTTAAGAAGTGACGATACCCTTTCCCCCCACACACCCCACTCACCATTAAATGCTTTTCTCCCTAACTCCCTGTCTCCAACTCACCAGTCCCGATGTCAGCAGGTGACTCCCAACCACCAGGCCCAAAGCCCAGTACCGTCTCCTCTCACAGGCATCAAAGAACACAACTCCCCAAAAGGTATGGAGCAGGATAATGGCTGCTGTCAGAAAGGCTGCAGGGAGGGAGACGGGGAGGCGATACATCCCTGATCTTCTCCTAGCCTCCTGAGATGTCGAGCCAAAGAAGTCTCCCAGGGAAGGCCAACAAATCAGATCAGGGACAAGGATGGATGGGGTGTGAAGGCTACACGGGAGGTGGATCTTACCTGAAGTCAGGAAGTAATAGGGTGAGTCTCCATGGATCCCAACCACACCTGGCCCAAGTGCATCAGCCAAAATATTGATAACAGAGAAGACACCACTGATGATACCGAAGGAGAGACCAGAAACTGGGGGAAGGGAGGGTCTCATCAATGCCGAGATCACCCTGTTGCCGGTTCACCACTGACCCCTCCCCATGCCCGGTGACGATTCTTTCACACCTACTCTCCCTCCAGACCACCTTTCTTTGGAAGTGACGGATGAAGGAAAAGCAGCAGCCACTGAGAACATGTGGATATTTAGAGACTTCCCCAGAGGGGGGGGCTGTCCAACTCCCTCCTGCAGTCCCTCTCCCTTGGCTCACCATAGGCCATCTGGCGGATGGAGATGGGTGATCGTCCGTCCTCACTCAGCGATGCTAACCCCTCATCTGCCTTCCTGGGGTGGGGTGGGGTAGGGGAAACATGAGGGAAGGCCGGGGTGCTCCTTTCCCTCTGATGTATTCCCTCAGCGACTCCTCTTCCAAACCCCCACCCAGGGGCGGCCCCACTTCCCACAGCGCAGTCGTCTGCCCCTCTCCCCTCCAGCCCACTCCATCTTCTTACTTAAGCAGCTTGTAGTAGGCAAAGCGGAACACCTCCTGTAGAAGGACAGAGACAGCAGCACCAAAAATCAGGAGGCCGTACTGGAGCCGGGCATCTGACCGGTCGGTCACATGGACCAAGATGAACCAGACCACAGAGGCCAGGAGCAGGGAGACCAGCCAGAAAAATGCCCTGAGAAAAGACAAGGGCAGTGAGACAGTGGTAGGGGCGGCCAGGGAAATCAACGAGGGAAAGCAGCCGAAGGTGCATGAAAGGTGGAAGTCAGCCTTCCGGACGGTTAGGGAGACAGGGACCAGGTAGGGTGATTGTCGCCACCGAGGGACTCATCTGTAGAAACGTGAACGGAGGGGAAAGGGGGAGAAATCTGATTAAAAAGTCTTGAGAGCGGTAAGAGCCAGAGTGTGCGAGCACGGAAGGGCGAGGTATCCATTCCTGGATCCTCCCCTGGGGCGCCTGACTCGGCCAGCGCAGGTCAGCACAGCCCCCTCACCAGTCTCGGCTTTGGGCCTTCTCTGACGTCGCAGGGAGGAATATAGGGGGAATCCGTGAGATCCTCGGAAGGTGGAGACCAACTGCGGGAAAGGGCAACTCTCCCGGATCCACCCCCACCCCGCCCAAACTTCACCGCGGACTTATCGCCCCCAATTTCGGCCCCCGGGCTCGCCCCGGTTCCTCCAGCCCCTTCCGCACCTCTCTCCTCGACGCTCTCCCGCGTCTCCCGGACCCCCTACTCACCCTGCGACCAGGATGATAACGCGAAGCGGGTCCCCAGCCACAGTGATCAAGAAAAGCGCGAAGGCCGGGCCGAACGCGACGAAAGTGCAGCCGAAAAACACCGCAGCCCCCATGGCTGGGCGGGTGGGACGGTGGGGGCCTGACCCGGACGGGCGAATGGGAGGGGCGCGCCAGCGGGGGAGTCCGCGTGGGGTGGCAACGCGACCCCACGAGGGGCGCGGTGCAATGTCACCCCCGGACCCCGGGGAAGGGGCGGGGGGGGGCACCAAAACCCCAGATGAAGGTCCGCGCGACTTCCTCTACGGAAGCCGAAGTGGGAACAAATCCCCGCCGCAGCCCCACGGCCACCTCCCATCTAATCTCCACCCCCGGAAGGCCAATGGAGAATCAGCGCGGGCGGAGCCGTGGGGGCGGGGCTGCTCGAGCTGCTGGGAGTTGTAGTCGCCTTCTGAGGCCTTGACTTCGTCCTGGGAGTGGCTGGAGCTGGTTAAACTGGGTGGGCCGGGGATGGACCTGTCGAGACACCGATTCCAGCATTCGGTTGCGCCTCCGTCGCGGTTTCCTTTCGTCACGTCGTGGGGAAATGTAGCAATCCTAGTTCTTCTTTTGTTTTGTTTTATTGCATTTTGGGTTTGGGGGTACATATAAGGAACATGCAAGATTGTTGCATAGGTACACACATGGCAGCGTGATTTGCTGACTTCACCTATATCTGGCATTTCTCCCCATGCTATCTCTCCCCAACTCCCCACCCCCCCGCTGTCCCTCCCCTATTTCCCCCCAACAGACCCCAGTGTGTGATGCTCCCCTCCCTGTGTCCATGTGTTCTCAATGTTCAACACCGGCCTATGAGTGACAACATGCGGTGTTTGATTTTCTGTTCTTGTGTCAGTTTGCTGAGAATGATGGTTTCCAGGTTCATCCATGTCCCTACAAAAGACACGAACTCATCATTTTTGATGGCTGCATAAGAGTCCATGGTGTTCAAGTGCCACATTTTCCCTGTCCAGTCTATCATCAATGGGCATTTGGGTTGGTTCCAGGTCTTTGCTATTGTAAACAGTGCTGCAATGAACATTCATGTGCATGTGTCCTTATAGTAGAACGATTTATAATCCTTTGGATATATACTCAGTAATGGGATTGCTGGGTCAAATGGAATTTCTATTTCTAGGTCCTTGAGGAATCGCCACACTGTTTTCCGCAATAGTTGAACTAATTTACACTCCCATTCTTTTTTTTTTTTTTTTTTTTAAAGACGGGGTTTCACCATATTGGTCAGGCTGGTCTCGAACTTCTGACCTCAGGTGATCCACCGGCCTCAGCCTCCCAAAGTGCTGGGATTACAGGTGTGAGCCACCACGCCCGGCAATCCTAGCTCTTCTTGAAGGGCTGCAGAGGGGGTAGGTTCTGTTTGAATCTAAGGGACAAGTACAGAGAGCACAGGATGGGGCGCAGGGAGATAGGGACGGGTATTGTTCTTGCTTGAATGAGAGGAAATGGGCTACAGCTGCTGCCTAAGGGATGATTATATTAAAAAATAGGAGCTCTTTGGACCGGCTAGTATAATAAACATGGAATACAGTGTATCAATAATGAAGCCTTCATCTGTAAAGGCAAGAGAATCAGAGAGAAGCAAAAGGAGCCTGGAGAGAAGTGTTAGGAAGGCATTTTGAAAGAGTTCGGGAGTTTAAAAGCAATTAGAGCGATGGGGTTGAAGGAAAACGACACCCCCACCCGCTCCAAGTTCCTTTTATGTCATACTTCCTCTATTTATTTTCTGAAAAATGAACCTCAGTGATGCGTTTTCCTCAGGCTGGGGAGAGGGGTTGTATATTAGAGTGAATTAAAGTAGGCCGGGTGCAGTGGCTCACCCCTGTAATCTCAGCATTTTGGGAGGCCAAGGCGGGCAATCACTTAAGGTTAGGAGTTTCAGACCCGCCTGGCCAACATGGTGAAACCCCATCTCTACTAAAAATACAGAAATTAGCCAGGTGTGATGGCACCCACCTGTAATTCCAGCTACTCAGGAGACGGAGGGGGGAGAATAGCTTTAACTCGGGAGGCAGAGGTGGCAGTGAGCTGAGATTTCGCCACTGCACTAGAGCCTGAGCAACAGACTGAGGCTCTGTCTCAAAAAATAAAAAGAAAATTAAAGTAGGAGAGGAGGGTATTGTAATCTCATTTGGATGGGGAGGAGTTAGTCCTTAGGGTATGAGGCAAAGGAATCTGAGGATGGAAAAGATGAAATCTGTAATCTTATTTTTGAAAGTGTAATCAAAGTACCAACACACACACACACACACACACACACACACACACAGAGAGAGAGAGAGAGAGAGAGAGAGAGAGAGAGAGAGCGAGAGAAATTGTTTCAAGAGAACCAAACTTCCTTTCCTTCCTGGAAGTGATTTATAATTTAATCCATATGTGCACACTCACGTACATGTTTTACATGTCTTCCAGGAAATTCTGGAAAGGAGCTGAGGAATAAATTGTATAGATTTACATAGAGGCCAGTCACAGTGGCTCATACCTGTAATCCCAGCACTTTGGGAGGCCAAAGCAGGTGGATCACTTGAGGTCAGGAGTTCAGGACTAGCCTGGCCAACATGGTGAAATCCCGTCTCTACTAAAAATACAAAAAATTAGCCAGGTGTGGTGGCGTGCACCTGTAGTCCCAGCTACTCAGGAGGCTGAGGCATGAGAATAGCTTGAACCTGAGAGGTGGAGGTTACAGTGAGCTAAGATCACACCACTGCACTCCAGCCTGGGTAACAGAGCAAGACTCTGTCTCCAAAAAAAAAAAAAAAAAAAAAAAAAAAAAAAAAAAATGGAAAGCAAGAAAAGATTTACGTGGAAAGTCACCAAGCAAGTTAATCACTAATAAGATTGAGAGGGTAGAGTTATCATGGACTGTGTTCAAGACTCCAATATGTCCTGCTTCAGAGTCAGGTGGACAGGAATGAGACAATTCTCATGGTAGTTTTTTTTTTGAGATGAAGTCTCACTGTCACCCAGGGTGGAGTGCAGCGGGGTACAATCTCAGCTCACTACAACCTCCACCTCCCAGGTTCAAGTGATTCTCCTGCCCCCGCCTCTCTAGTAGCTGGGATTACAGGTGCCTGCCCACCACACCCGGGTATTTTTTATATTTTTCGTAGAGATGAGGTTTCACCATGTTGGCCAGGCTGGTCTCAAACTCCTGACCTCAGGTGATCCGCCTGCCTTGGCCTCCCAAAGTGCTGGGATTACAGGCGTGAGCCACTGCACCCGGCCTCATCTCTTCATTGAGCTGTCACCACAGCATCGTCTGACCATTGAGAGCAGCCTCTAAACCTATCTTGTTCCTGGGCGGGTCCACAGACACTTGCATAGTGCCTGACTCATAATAAATGTTGAGCAGATGCTTATTAACTTGCCTTCAAACCCAAACAAAACTGTCTTCTTATTCCCTTGCCTGTAAACTCTGTATTGCCTGTCAAACGAGGCCTAGCACACTGTGCCTAGCACATATGTTGCTGTTTCTGAACTGAATGAAAATGGGAAGCATAAAAGCAGAGAAAAGGATGAATCCTGTACTCCTGGGCTTCGTTGGAGCAGGCTGGTGTTGCCATTGGAAGGCTGTGTGAAAAATGTGATGGCAAGTGTGTGACTTGTGACTCCTCTGTGCGTCCCTGCACTCCGGTGCGCATATGTGATGAGTGTAACTATGGATTTTTTTTTTTTTTTTTTTTGAGACGGAGTTTTGCTCTTGTTGCCCAGGCTGGAGTGCAATGGCGCGATCTCGGCTCACCGCAACCTCCGCCTCCTGGGTTCAGGCAATTCTCCTGCCTCAGCCTCCTGAGTAGCTGGGATTACAGGCACGCACCACCATGCCCAGCTAATTTTTTGTATTTTTAGTAGAGACGGGGTTTCACCATGTTGACCAGGATGGTCTCGATCTCTTGACCTCGTGATCCACCCGCCTCGGCCTCCCAAAGTGCTGGGATTACAGGCTTGAGGCACCGCGCCCGGCCGGGTAACTATGGATCTTACCAGGGGCACTGTGTGATCTGTGTAGGCCCTGAGGTCTCTGATACCTATTATTGTAAGGCGTGTACCATCCAGCGGAAGGATAGATATGGCTGCCCGAAGATTGTTAATTGGGGAGCTCTAAAACAGATCTCTTCTATGAATGCAAAAAATATGGCTTCAAGAAGAGGTGATTGGTGGGTGGCCCCTTCCTTCCCCACACATCAAGCTGCTGCCGCTGCCAGAAAAGATCGCTACTACTACCAGCAGAAAGGGAGCAGAGCCTACAGCATCACCGGGAGTGCCTGCTAGTGTCCTGGCAGCTTGCCACTCTCCTCTTACCCAGACATGTGGTATGGATGGAAAAGGGTTCTTCACGGGGCACTCCGGCACACTGTAGTAGAGAAACATTGATAGATTAGTTCATGGTGTTTCTTGAATTCTAGCAGCGAAGATCTTTTCTCCTTATTGATATGTTCTCCCGCATCCAAGATCTTCTAAAAAGAAATAATATTTTAGTCTTCTGCTTGAGGATTTGACTGTGAAGCTACGCCCAGTGAAAAACATGTTCTTGCAGCAGCTCTGGTGGCAGCTGTCCTTGAGGAACCTTCGGTGTGTGGTGGGAAGCTATCAGCACAAGAAATGTAGGCGCTTACTCTTTTTTCTATTTTTTATTTTTTAATTTATTTTATTTTTTATTTTTTTTATTTTTGAGACGGAGTTTCGCTCTTGTTACCCAGGCTGGAGTGCAATGGCGCGATCTCGGCTCACCGCAACCTCCGCCTCCTGGGTTCAGGCAATTCTCCTGCCTCAGCCTCCTGAGTAGCTGGGATTACAGGCACGCGCCACCATGCCCAGCTGATTTTTTGTATTTTTAGTAGAGACGGGGTTTACACATGTTGACCAGGTTGGTCTCCATCTCTCGACCTCGGGATCCACCCACCTCGGCCTCCCAAAGTGCTGGGATTACAGGCTTGAGCCACCGCGCCCGGCCTCTATTTTTTTATTTTTAAAAGACGGGGTTTCACCATATTGGTCAGGCTGGTCTTGAACTCCCGACCTCAGGTGATCCACCCACCTTGGCCTCCAAAGGGCTTGGATTACAGGTGTGAGCCACCACGCCCGGCCTGGCATTTACTCTTTAAAGACTTGTGCTGGTGTCACGTTATTTTCCTTCTGAGAAGTTGGAAACCCTTTCTGTTGCTCTTCTATTAATAAAGTTGGGGTTTATTTTCCGGTAAAAACAAAACAAACAAACTCTACTCCTGTGGGACTGAATGAAAGGGAATACACCAAGTGACCGAATGTGGGAGGGAAGGTGTGGCACTTGCAGCAAGGGAAAGAGACGATCTGCTCTCTCCCTTCTTCCCTCCTGCATCCTGGAAGTTGAGAAAGAGGTGAGGTGAGGTCAGGATTACCAGAGAGGAAATAGCTGACTGTGGCGGAGAGACTTTTCTCTGAAGCCACGCAGCAGGTGCCTTAAGCCAGACGATGATGGGTAGAGATTGT